ACACACACACACACACACACACACACACACACACACGTATATACACTGTATATGTATATACACTTAGGTGCCCCATGGTGAGGTTCTCCTTTCCATTCCCAGGGCCTTCTCCTCTCTCTCCTCTTTCTATCCTGTTTCATCTCCACTTCACAGACGGGACCATTGAGGCCCCGGGACCTCATCTGTACTATTACTTGGACAGATGCCTGTCTGAAACTATGCTGATCAAATTCTCGCCTTCAGTCTCTTGGTGATCACTCTTCCCCACATGGTTTGAGACAGAGGAAGGGATTAGTGGAGAGTGAAAGGCAGAGCTGAAGTGACAGCGGAGCCACTTCCTCACATAAATTCTTCTTTGGGGCAATCAGCGCTGTAACTGACAAGCCACCTTACTGCCGGTCAGAGCACTCAACACAGGAATGTCTGCAAGGAAGTTGGTGGAGAGCTTAGCCTGGGAGAATGCAGACGCCCAGTGAAGGCGGTGAACAGTCACTCCCTCGGCTCACGTCTGGACCAGCCTGGCTGATTTCTCGGCCTACACGAGAGAGAATGAAATTTCTTGAAGCATTACACACTCTCAAAGTTTAACTATCTGTTTAGGTGGCAGCATAAAATGATCCAGCACAAACTAAATATGGCAAGGGCATGTGTGCACCGAGAGCTGAGAGCTGGTGGAGAACCCTGTCACCCAGGCAAAATGCAAATGAAGTCATTCTTGGTAGCCCTTGGGCAAGCAAGATGACTTTCGGTTTCCACTTTTTATTTCTGTAAATAAAACAGTATCTGTCTTAGTTGGGTTTTCTGTCGCTGTGATGAAACACCATGACCATAAATAACTCGGGGAAGAAAGGGGTTTATTTCAGCTTACAGCTCTCAGGTCATACTTCATGGCTGTCAGGGCAGGGACCTGGAGGCGGGAGCTGATGCAGAGGCCCAGAGGGGTGCTGCTTATTGGCTGGATCCTCATGGCTTACTCAGCCTGCTTCCTTACAGCACCTAGGACCACCAGCCCAGGGATGGCATCCCCCACAATGGGTTGGACCCTTCCCCATGAATCACTAGTTTTAAAAATGTCCTACAGACTTTTTTTTTTTTTTTTTAAATTTAAAAGGCCAATCTAGTGGGGGGTGTTTTCTCAGTTGCAGTTTCTCAATTGGGGTCGACTCTTCCAAAATGACTCAAGCCTGCATCAGGCTGACACTGTCTTTGTTCTCAGCCAGCAGGGTTTCTATGAGCTGTTTGTCTCTAGCTCCCTCCTTTAAAGTGGAAGCTCCTAAAGAATAATTCCCATTCCTGTTGCTTCGTAACCCCTGCACTGAACACCAGCTGTGCCACACAGCAGGATCGTAAGCAGTGTTCAAAACAAACATAGCTACAATGAACTCTTCTCTACACTCACGCTTTTAGGGGCAACAGGGTGGGACCCCAACGGGGAGTTACTGAGTTCCAGTGCTGTCATCTTAGAGTGTGTATCTTTACACAACATCCAGTCTGGCCGCTTCAAGACCCCAGTATGGGTTCTAGGTAGGCCCACCTTCAACTTCTTGTCCTCCCCTCAACCACTCCCATTCTCATTCTTCTCTCTACCTTCATCATTTGGTCAGAAAAATAAGATAAAATCTGCACCACCCCACAATAGTCACTGAGGACAATAAGCACCATCATGGAACACTGAAGACAAACCCCTTCCTAGCTGTCAGGATCCTCCCAGGAGAGAAATGTAAGGCAGAGACAGTAGTAACTAAGTATTTAGTGCCATCAGAGCTCAATAGGAACTGCTATAGTCCGAAGTTCAAGGGCCTGGGGATGTTCTAGAGCTGATGTCTGAGCTAGGATGACCGATAGATAAGGAGTTGACTTTTGACAACAGGAATGCCCACATTCATAGAAGGGAAAGGAATTCCATATTCCAGGCACAGCCTGAGATGGGCGAGTTAAAGGTGACTCTACTCAGCAATGTGTGAGGAGCAGAGCAGCCAGGAAGTGCCTGGATGGTGGAGACAAGTGGGACCCAGGAGAAGAGATGAGGGGCAGGATGGAATATATCACTCAAAGTCAGTCCCCACTCAGCTCTGAGTATTCCTCAGGACCCAATAAGCACTTAGGGCACCAAAAATAAGATCTGAAATGAGGCTACCTGGAAAGAAATGAGGGTGATTTCAATATGCTTTTGACTTTTGTGCAATTTCAGATAATAGTTTTATTTCAGGTCAGCATTGGGAAAACATGGAACTGCATGGAAACATACTGTGTAGCCCCTCCAGTGTTTACCATCTCTAAAATCTTTTCTGGGTGCTATGGATCAAGCACAAAAATGTCCCCGCCATGGGCTTAGGTGTTTGAACACTTGGACTCTAGCTGGTGATGCCCTCTGGAAGGCATCAGAAACTTGAGGAGCTAGAGCTTGGTTTGGGGAAGCAGGGTACTGGGGATGGGACATAGGGATTTTGACCTAATGTGTGAGAGAGAGAGAGAGAGAGAGAGAGAGAGAGAGAGAGAGAGAAAGAGAGAGAGAGAGAGAGGGAGACAGATTCTGTTTCTCTCTGACTCTCTGTTTCTTTCTTTGCCTCTGTTTTTCTCTGTTCCTGTCTGTCTCTGTATGTCTCTGTGTGTCTATCTCTCAGTCTGTTTCTGTCCCTTTGTCTGTCTGTATATCTGTCTCTCATCTATAAATCTGTAAGAAGTCCTAGCTGCACACTCTGCCTTCCCCACCATGATAGCAATACCCTCAAACAGTGAACCATGAGACAGAATACATCCTTCCTTCCTCCAGTTGCCTTAGCCAGGTATTTCATCACAGTGACTAGAGGGTAGTGATAGGTCAGGCTTTAGAGTATTGCAGAAATTGTATACCAGTGGATCTCCCTTTGGGCTAGGCAGAGTTAAAGCAGCTAGCAAAAATATTTTCTGCACGGCCCATAACTCTACCTTTCAACCCCTTGGAAGAGCTGGCAGTGTATATGGAGTCATTTGTTTGTTAGAAGGACTTCCAACTTGTGGCTTTTAAGAGCTGTGACAAATGGCTAATTCTGTAGCTCCAGAATTAGGAACCAACATCCTTGTGAACATCAAGTTTTCATTCCTTTCCTCTCCCTCCTCTCCCCTCACCGTGTGTGTGTGTGTGTGTGTGTGTGTGTGTGTGTGTGTGTGTGTGTGTTTGGTGTTCCTAGGAATCGAACTTACGGTCTCACGCCCTCCACCATTAAGCTATGACCCCAGGCCGAGCGCTCAACTCTCTAAAGTGAAATTAATCATCTTCCCAGGGATCTACAAAGAGACAGCTAATTCTATTAGCCCTCACTCCCCCTCCTACCCCCTGCTTCCACCTTAATTCACGTTCTGGTATTTTATGAGACATGGTGTTTGTCTTAGTTAGCAATAGTTTCTATTGCTGCAATAAACTACCATGACCAAAAATCAAGTTGGGGAGGAAAGGGTTTATTTGGCTTATGCTTCCAAATCATAGTCCATCATTGGAAGAAGTCGGGACAGAAACTCTCAGTGCTGGAACCTTGAGACAGGAGCTGGTACAAGCCATGGAGGAGAGCTGCTTACACTTGCTCAGCCTGCTTTCTTATAGAACCCAAAACCACCAGCCCAGGGTTGGTACCACTCACAATGGGCTAGCTTCACCTATTGATCACTAATTGGGAAAATGGTTTATAGCTAGAACCATAGGGACACTGCCTTAACTGAGTCTCCTTTCTCTCTGATAACTCTAGCTTGTGTCAAATTGACACACAAAACCAGACACTACAGTGTATTCATGGCCAAATATTATGTGTGCCCCTCCCCTGCCACCAGGGAAAGAAAAAGTTATATGCCCTGGCACCAAACCGAAGGTAGTCTGAGGGAGTTGATCTAGTCCTCTGTGTATTCAAATGAATTATTGGCCGTAAGATCTAATTGCAGTCCAGACGAGAACATTGTCACGTACATTGATGAATGTTGTGTAAACATTGATCCCTGATTGGTTAATAAAGAAGCTAAACATTCTGTAGCTAGGAAGAAGAGAGGTAGGTGGAGCTTTCATTCCTGGTCCTGGGGTCTCAGGTAGAGGCCATGAGAGAGAAGAAGAAAGAAGAGGGAGAAAAAGGATGTGACAATTAACTGACCTGATGGAGCAGAAACAGCCCAGACAGGACCAATATGGCAAGTAACTCAAGGTGTGTGGCTGGGAAGCAGCCAGACTAGCTTAGAGGATTAAGATAGATTATATTTGTCCAGTCATTTAGCCTAAAGCTTATTAATAAATCTTATAAGTCTCTGTTTCATTTAGTTGGGAGCTAAAGTGTGTGATTAGAAAAGCCCCCTCCATTATAACATATCTTTTAGTACACAACCACTCATCTAGATAGTAGATATTATAACATGTCTTGTTCATAATCACGCATCTAGATTAGTGGGCATATCTACAAGAAGAAGGAAATGAAAGGTCATAGCTAGGCTGTTTGTCACCCCATTCCAAGTCCCACAGTACAGTGGTGCAGCCTGAGAGGCATCCTGGGACACTTTAACATAGATGCCACGGAGGGTTTCCCAAACTAAAGGTTCCAAGCAGCAAAGATAATCACATCAAGGCAGAGGAAAACTAGTGTCTCATCAACTGGTGCCTACACCCAACTAGCTCTCCCATTATCTCTCCCTGTCCTCAGTTACAAGAACAATTGTCCTAGAGCAGGGAGAGGGTGAAAAGGCAGACGGCGACCTTCTTGCTGACACGCAGCTCCTGGACTGTAAGTCCCTGAGTACACATTCCTTATCCTGGCCCAGAGTAGATCTTTCATACTTTGCTGAAAATGAATGAGAATCCCTCACCCACCCAGCTTTCCATGTTTAAGAAGATTATTTGTGGGAAAATGGAGGGTGTTCTTTGGCTGGCTTAGCTAGTTTCCGGGTGGGGCTTTGGCTTCTGTGTGTGACCCGCCCTTAGCCTTGTGTCGTAGCTCTGTGGGTGGAATCGTTTAAATTCTAGGCAGCTCTCAGCCCTGCTACTTGTTGGCTAAAATCCTCCAGCAGCAGCATGAAGCTCGGAGCCTTGTTTCTCTTGGTGTCTCTTGTTGCCCTCAGCCTAGAGGTACAGGAGCTACAGGCTGCAGTGAGACCACTGCAACTTTTAGGTAAGTCTGGACAAATGGTTGCATTTTTTTCCCCTTGAGTGAAGGTGCCTCTGGAGTAGGATCTCCAGAACCAGTGCAAGCAAGAATTGGGAGGGATGGGGCGGGGGGGAGAAGAAAGTTCTCTTTAGGATCCTCCTTTGTGGTCACCTCTTTGTTCCCCAGAACAGAATCCCTCTTCAGCTTTCTCTCTCTCTTCATGTTGAGTCACCTAACTGGACACTCCATTGCTGCTTGCTCATCACAGCCATCTTCCATCTCGCTGGCATCTCCCTGTCTACCAGCTACTTTCTTGGAACTATCTACAGAAAATATTTTTTTAATTGTTTAATTTTTTTAATTGTTTAATTTTAAACGCAGGACAATCTCAATCTCCTTTGCCAACAATATTCTCAAAAAGGGTTTTGCTTCCATAGGGTTTTTATTGTTGCTGGGTTTTGTTTTGTTTTGGTTTTGTCTGGGACAGTCTCATACTGCAGCCCAAGCTGGCCAGGAACTTACTGTGCAGCCTAGGCTGACCTCAAATTCATGGCAATCTTCCTGCTTCATCCTGCTGTGTTGGGATTACAAACGCAATCCAACTTACCTCACTTGGCCTGAAAGAAGTCTTCTTAAATCTCTGCTCATTCTTGCCTTAAACCTCTGGTGTCCACAGCCTCGTTAGACTCCTGACACACCCCTCTCAGGCCCCCTGGATGAGTCTTCTGACTCTTCTCAGTAGTGCAGTCTCCCTTTGCAGCACTGATACTGTCTGCCCTCCCCCACACCTCTCCCCCATCCTGCTTCTTCCCTGGTTTGTCTTTTACTGAATCGTATCACTCCTAAATGTCTTTAGATGGAGCTTAGGCCTCTCTTCTTCACTCTCTCCTGCTCTAGCAACTGCCTGTTTTTGAAACATTGTTTGCATCTCTTCTGTCCTGTTGCCTCAGTGTGTCCAGCCCTGATTGCTCCACCGTCCTGCTATTGCAACTGCTTCCCAAAAGCTCTCCCTACCCCTCTCTTCTTCCTTCTTCCATGTGATTACTAGTTGACTCCTGGTTCTGTCTATGCTTTTGCAGTAGATAATCCTCCCAGGTGACCTTCTTTCCTCAGCCTGTTAAGTGGAATCCCAAATCCACAGGTCCTGGTGACTTTGCCCTTGGCAGCATTTATTTCTCCTGCTCCCAAACTTTCCCAGAACCAACTCCGATTACCATTCTTCCTGACTCCTCTGTCCTGTCTCCTACGTAACACACGGGCTTCCCTGGAGCCCTGCCCTACTACGTTTTCCCCCTGTAAAGATCTGCATCTTTCCTCACAGCACTCCACCTGCTTTCCCCACTACTCCTCCTTGAGAATATTCCTGCACTTCCAGGCTTACTTTTTCTGATGAACAAGAAATACTGTCTTCCCTCCTTTGAGCCCTTTGAGTGCTCTGGATGCACCTTGCAGGACACTTGTGAAACACTGCTTGGTTTCCAGCGCCTTAAATGTAAGTCTTACTTGCATTGGAAGTTTCTTCTAATGTCATCGCTCTTCCCGAATGCTTTATAAATAGCAAAAGCTATTTATATAAGTATTTATATAGCAGAAATACTTAATGATTGACCAAACTATTGTGAATAGGGACAAACAGTCTTCAACTTCCTCACCTCAAAGCAACAACAGCACCAAAACCACTTAGGGATCATGCTATAAAGCAAAGAGCTAGGGAGACTAACCTCACAGTGAGACTGCAAGACAACCAGCAAGTCTGGATAGTCCCTCCTCTGCTCCATGTCCTGTGGTGGAGGGAAGTGTCTTCATTTATGCAACCTTCTTCCTTCCTTTCCACAAATGCAATCTCTCCACCTCTAAAGTAGGCTTGCTTTAATAAGATTGTGTGTGGGCCTTGTTTTTAACAGAAACAAACAGTTACAAATGGCACTATGTATTGAGCTAAAAGAAGCTGGTGAAATTCACTGCTTGATCGAGGACTGTCATGCCCAGCACTTGAACCTCTAGCACAGCAGCGTTCACCGGTCTATTTGTCTGTCTGTGGGAGGGTAGACTCATTGTGCAGTCCAGGTTGGCCTTTTGCTGATGATCTGCCTGCCTCCGCCTACCAGTGCTGGGATTGTAGGTTCATCCCACCATGCCTACTTTCAGCTGATCTTTTCTGACGTAGGCACCTGCGCTGAGCTCTGCAGAGGTGACTGGGACTGTGGACCTGGGGAGCAATGTGTCAGCACTGGGTGCAGTCATGTGTGTACTACAAACTAAGAACAGGTAAAAAAAAAAAAAAAAATACATCTAGCCCTTACTGTGACCCCCAAATCTTGTCCAGACCAGGCAGTCTGTACCTTTCACCTCCATGGGACTTTCCAAAAATTGGTAGGATGGAACCCTATGTGTTTCCCTATAGCTCCTCCCTTTTTTTCTCCATGAAGAAGAAGCATCTACCACAAGATGGTGCTTTCTAAACCTTTAGAATAATTTCCCAACCCAGTCTACCCAGGAGAAAAATCAGACCATATTTGAGCAAGAAGATAAAAATGACCCGTTATTCATCATGCCAAAATGATGTCCGTATGCTACTGTGACTATGCACAAATATATATTTTAAAATAAAACCCTGTACCTATTTGATTTCTTAGCTATTTCATTTAAAAAATAGTTAAGTAACAACTGTAGTCTCAGTACTTATACTCAGTTCCGTCCAGCCATCTTTGCTTTCTCTATGGTCCATCGTGTATGCTCTCCTACCAAACATCCCTGCAAATGTACATTTAAGGCATTTATTCTATAATACTAACACAGCTGTAATGAATATCAAAATGTACACACCCTTACTAATTCCTTTGGGATATAACCCAGCATAATAAAAGACCAAAGAATACTGACAGCCTTTTGATGCACATTGCCATATGGGCATAAGCACATTCGTTTTCTGTAAAAATATTTGATGGGATTCATATTGTTGTTTTAATTTTCAGTACCAATTAATTTAAAAAGAGAATAAAAGCTATCATCATTAAGTTGTGTTAATATGGTTAAATTGTATTAATGGATTTAGCATGTACTCTAAACACCAAACTGTTCAGGCAAAAAGATTAATCTATGGGTAAAGGCTCCTGTTGCCAAGCCTGGTGACCCGAGTTTGATCACTAGAATCCACAGAGTGGAAGGAAAGAACTAGCTCTCAAAAGCTGTCCTCTGCATTCTACATGTGTGCCATGGCATGCACATGACTTCACATACACAAATAATACTAACATACTAAATTAAAGCAAACTCACACAGTTCATGTTCAGAACATTTTAGTTACCCAGTGCACCTTTAGTGCTATGGATTTCCAGAATCAAGAACTATTATTTCTCATTGCATTCTGGATAGCCAGATACCCCAAACAGCAGGCCTCATGTATAAATTGTACATCTATTTCTCAAAAAAAAAAAAAAAAAAAAAAAAGTCTCAAAGGCCATCTTCTCAAATAACTGCTCATCTCTTTCTACAGCTTCTACCTGGAAAAAAAAAAAAGTGCCTGTTTGGAGCTCTGTGACCAAGAAAGCAGTTGAAAATGGAAGCCATAAATGGAGATTATAAGAAGCACAGTGGGGAGGGACAAGGAGGTGTTTCTTTTAATAAATCATCATCATAAAAGTCTCTACACTACTTATGTTATTTGGTTGGAGGTTGCTATGGTTTGAATATGACATGTCTCCACAGACTCATATATGGAGGGCAACTGGTCCATAGCTGATGGCATTTGTTTAGGAAGCAGGGGCCTTGATGGAGGAGGTAGATCATGGGGGTATTTCTTGCTGCTTCCTGGTTGTTTTAAGTGAACAGCTGCAATCAAACACTCCTGTTATCATGAAAATTCTGCTTTACTACAAAGCAAAGCCACCCAGGCATAACCTTAAACCTCTAAAATAGTGCACCCAAAAATAAACCCTCCTTCCTTTAAACTGTTTCTCTAGTTATCTAATTCTAATAGTGGAAAAGCTACTAATGGCAATATGTTGAGCTCTGATAGTATATATCCATGTGGGTGGCAATGTGGGTCCACAAAAAAAAAAAAAAAATATATATATATATATATATACACACACACACACACACACACACACATACATACATACTGTGGTCATCACCAGCTGAAGGGAAAAAAATATAGAGTTCCCAGTAAGACCTTTAAGGACTTCCTGCATTAGCTTGAGTTACCGCTTAGCAGCCCCTACACACCCATCTCCAACCCTGAGATCTGAAAGTCACAATTTAGCATCTGTATACTCTATAATACCAAAGTCATGCGGTCTTGAATAATACTTTATGTGGGTCATCCATGTTATTAAACCCAGACTGTTGACACAGTCTCTTCACACCTCTGTTGTGGTAAGTACCAAGCCCTACACCCTTCTAGCTCAGCGTAATATTTGAACACATCTTAAGTACAGCTTCAGTTACTCTTGGTGATAAGCAAGAAGAACCATTCCTATAGCAGCCAGTTTATCTCTGTAGGTGGTAGTCCTTTTGTGGCTGGGGGTAAGGAGGAAAACAAGGACTGGTAAGAAAGAACAGTAGAAGGGTGGGTGTCACATAGCTAGCATTTCTGTCACTGCCATCTGCAAAAGTGTTCTCCAACTCCAGCCAGAATCTTAGACTCTGGCAAATGCCAGCCCTGCAAACTTTCTGAGAGCGTAAGGGGGTGGGGGAGGGGGCGGGCGAGGTTATCATGCCTTATTTCTGCCACCTTTTACAAGATACCAGGCTGAAGGACAACTACTCTCACCACCGCTTACAACCTGTAGCGCCAATAAAGCCTTTCCGGAACTAGAGCACACAGCAAGGCCCTGCCCCAAGCGGTGCCCCGGAAGTATTTCCGAGCTATCTCACGTAGGAAAAATGGCGGCCGTGCAAGTCGCCGCCTCGCTTTCTTGTGGGCAGCCGCGAGAGGCCCCGCGGGAGCTATCTCCGGAGCAGGACGATGGGTTCCGCCGCTTGTCTGCCAGGCTCCGCGCGCTGCAGCCCGATGACAGCGCCGTGTCCCGCATGGAGATCCACCTGCTCTTCGACCAGCTCATCTCCGAGAACTACAGCGAGGATGGCGGCCTGGCTCCGGAGGTAGGCGGCGCGGCGAGTCCTTCCTCCGGCCCCTCCGGGTCTCACCGTGCCCCGGATGACTTAGTTCCAGGCTGGCTTTCTCCCTCCTTCCGTGCCATATTCTCTGCCCTCCATCTGAAGGCTTGAAAGCTAGCGTCTTTCAAAGGCTTCTTCTCCAACGCCCTCAGCTTCCATCCCTGGAAAACTATTCCAGGAATGTCGGGACGAGGATAGTTTTAGCTGATGAAAACGCTGAAGCTCGCAAAGATCCAGCGTCACGGGGTTGGCAAAGCTAGAACTGAAGCCCGAGTTTGCCGTGGGGCCTGTATTTTCTGTTTTGTTTCTGTACTAGCTCTCGTTTGCCTCCACTCTACTGTCAGAGTAATCTTACTCATACACATCAGACCTTGTATGTCAATAATTCCCAGAATCCTTGAGTCAGTCCTACTGACAAGCACCTCAAACTTGATGGCTCTCAAAGAGGAATACATTGATTCCCATACTCCCAACCCCAGTTCACTCTACCCTGCCCCACCTTAAATACACGCAAGGCGCGCACACTGCTTCTTTCCTTTCTGCTGGAGCTTGTCGGATTAAAATTCTTCAGAGTCTGTCCCAAACGGGTTGTTCGGTTCACTCTCCTCTATTCCCATTGTCAGTGTTTGAGGCAAAGTAATTCTTGCCTGGACAATTCCCCTGGTCTCTCACTGGTCTTCCTCCAGTCTAGCTCCTTTCCAGACTTCTTTGCTGTGTTGCCAGAATCTACTATTTGGTTAAAAAACAAACAAACAAACAAACAAACAAAAACCATAAAAGTGTAAACCTAATCAGAGATTTTTTTTTTTTTTTAATGTATACTGGGAAATGGCAGAAGCAAGCTGCCTAATGAAATAAACCACACAGTAAGAGACAAATACGGGGAGGGAGGAGACTTTAAAAATAAATGTATATTTATATGCTAAGAGGGAAAAAAATCCAGAAGAGCTCACCACAGATAAGGGAGGGAAGTGGAATTAAAAAAAAAAAAAAAAAAAGCGTGCCTTTCTGGTTTTCTCTCCTGTTTCTCCTCTGCACCCTGGTTGTAGTCATTTGGAACTTGCTGTTGTTGTTCAGGCACCAGAAGACTTTTCACATCTCCAAGACTCCCCACTCTGTCGTCGCTTGTTTTTGATTACTTGTCTGACTGGCAAAGTTCTATTCATTCTTCAAATTTTCAGAAAGATCTGTGTATCTTTCTGTCTCCCTCACTAGATTGTAAATGTTTTTTTTTTTTTTTTTTTTTTTTTTTTTTTTTTGTGATTCAGGGAAAAGTTCGTTTCACCTGTGGAGTCAAAAGACCTAGCCTGCTCCCTGGCACATACTAGGTGCTCAGAGCCCTTTAATCAGGGAGCATCAGTAGATGGTGTGGTGATCTGTGGACAGCATGTTCCTTTCTAAGTTTATGTAAGAGTCCTGTCAGTGTTGTTTCTGATTTTCTCAATAGCACCGAAAGTCTGGCTCTCTTGGAATTTTTAGCTGTAGCGTGTGCTTTTCTATGCTAGAAGCCTTTCTTTTGTTATTTAATAGTACTGTGTGGTAAAAGTCCTTTTTCTTCTTTTTAATAATTCTTTTTATTTCATTTCCCCCAAGCCCTACTTTCTGCCTCAGCTTCTGCTCAGATATTTTTATCTCATTGAGTGTGGAACATTTGATATACTTTTCCTGTTTGACTGTGTTTGGGGGTGTTCACTTGGCTAACAGGTGCATTTATCGTTGCTTTGTCTTTTTTTTTTTTTAAATAGGATGTCAGTGCTCTTCTTGTGCGAGCTTGTCAGCTGGTGCCTCTTAACCAGAATCACCTTGTGAGCAAAGTGTCTCAGTTGATCCATCATTTACTTAACAGATTACAGGTAATCATGTATATAACTTTAGGCTCAGATTGTAAATGCAGAGAACACATAAATGCCTTTGAAATACCGTACCTATTGTAGATATGGTAGGCTTATCTTTTTGTTTGTTTTGATATAGGATCTTAGGTCATGTTGGCCTGAGAAAGACCTTGACCTTCTGATCTTTTTGTTCACCTTTAAAGTACTGGGATTACAGGTGTTTGCTACCAGACCCCAGGTTGGTAGTCTAATCTTTTGAAAAGCTTGGAAAATCAAAACGTCTTGAGCTCGGAATATAACTCAGTGAATGGTGGAGCCCTGGCCTCCTGGCACACATGAGGCCATGGGTTCAGTCACATCATCAGTACCACCAAAAAAAAAAAAAAAAAAAAAAAAAAAAAAAAAAAAAAAAAAAAAAGCAATGCTTAATAAGAGCACATCATTAAACCCAAATATATATTCTGAGAACTTCTAGGCTTTTGCTCATGAAAAATATTCTTTTGTGTTTGGCTCAGTAAACCAAGATCATTCGTGACATCTTAGTTTTTGTTGTTGTTGTTGTTCATGGAAAATAGAATTGACCAAGATATATTCCAGACCAAAATTCCATGTTGCATGATTCCCTATTTCTTTCCTACACACACACACACACACACACACACACACACACACACACACACACACATATATATATATATTTAACTTCCTGAAACTATTATTTTTACAGTCTACATAAAACCCCCGAAGTAGCTAGGGAACAGAGAGCCCCAGGATAAAAACTCCACAGTTATTTCTATCAAGGTCTATTCTGCAGTTCTCCATCTGTAAAACTTCTAAGTGAATCCCTGAGTAGATGGATATCAGTTAGCATCGTGCCAGCCAGAATCCTTTGGCCTGTAAGAGAGAAGAACATCCAATAAAACGAGACCCCTGCCATAGGCTAGGAGGGCATCCAGTAAAACTGGGACCCTGCCATTGGGGAAGGGGATGGATGCTAATGTGTATGCACCCAGCTGTGTTAGGTGAGCTGAGGCCATTTCCAGGTTTAAAATGTCACACACAGGTGTGTGGTAGCTTCTGAATTTTTACTGCTGTCACGTGCTTCATTTTTGGGTCACTGGCAGTTGGAAAACACCCTATCACCTGTGGCACCTACAGCCCACAGCCAGCTGTCTAGGATTTGATGATATTGTGCATGGACTTGAATGTCCATAACTTGATTTTTGGTTAGCCCATTCTTTCTCAAGAGGATTATAAACTGTGGGGACAGGAATGTGTCATATCTTCTTGGTGTATTCCTCACATCATGATAGATACATAGTAGGTATTTAGCGGATATGTTTCTTTGCTGTGCCTTAGTTGAGTAATTACTATGTATTAAGTCAGTTTAATCGAAGTAAGACATTTTAGTGTGCTGAATCTTGTGTCTGTATGTATAGCTGTCAGTTTCTGATTAGTTCCAGGAAAAGTTATTGGGACTACCAGGTTCTACTTTGGAGAGATCAAAGGGGCAGAAGAGACCAACATCCTGGGGCAAGGAGAAGGACTCCCCTATCTTGATCAAACCTGCAAACCTTCAGAGCCAGTGCTTTGGTACAAAAAAGATGAACATGCACTCTCTTAAGTCAGATCATCTCTTTTTTTCCCCCGTCTTGGCAGGTCGTTGTGGATGAGCAGAACTTGGAT